CTGGGTGCGACTCTCTAACCAGTTGGTGACCCATTGGACTGTATGGGTGTCTACGCCACAGTCCCCCAGCTTCCTAATGAGAATGGGGTGAGACAGTATCAAAAGCCTTCCTGAAGTCTAGGAAAACTATATCCACTGCCACCCCTGCATCCAATGATTTAGTGACCTGGTCGTAAAACATCTCCATTTAGAGAAAACTCCTGGGATGCCTGTAAACGCCACTTTGGGGGTTAATCCTGCAATACGCTATGTTACTGGCAGTTGAGCAACTTTGCACACTGTAGGACCAGAACTGTCTTATTTAGAAATCTTGCTATTGCAGGCATCTTGGGCAATGTGTTTTAAATCAGCAGGTAAATTACAAATTATTAGCATAGAATCAGATCTGTAATATCAGAATATGTCCTGGGGGGAAAACAAAGTAACATAATATAAAAATAGGATTTTGCACAGCTGGGAATAAAATCTAGGCTTCATGGCTCACTGCACTCCCTCATGCTACTTATTAAAAATTGGCAGAAAAAGCAGCTGGCAAATAAAGCCTTGCACAGCTCTTTGAAAATGTAAAGCATCCCACAGTCTTTTTTTCTATCCTTAAGACTAGAGAGGTTTATCAAAATACATAAGGTAACAGCAAATTAATCTTTTAAAAACTAAAATACAGTTTATACATCTCCCATCCCATTTTTTTTATCTCAAAATTACACTATTTTCGAAGTGTTTTATATAGAATTTTTTAGAAGTGAAGTTCTACAGACTCCAACATAAAAATACTAAATCTTAAATCAAACCTTTAATTGGTATTTAGGCAAAATTTCCTCACTGTGGGTGCATCTACACATGCATATTAACACAAAACAATAAACTTCACAGCTCTGTTTACTGCTCTGGGCACGCCATTTACACGTACACCTGAGACCACACCATATTGAGCTGGGTCTGGGAAGCCCCAACTGGTAGGGGGCCCCAGGGGTCAGCCTGCCAGCCTGGAGCTGTTCCCCAATGTACCACGGAGGGGCAGGCTGAGGTATGAGGATGCTTCAGTTTGGGGCTAGCACACTGCACTGAAGCACCCTCGTGTCCCAGCCAGTCAGATCAGTGTCTATACATGTGCTGCTGCGGATTAAAAAGAACCTCCATAGCAGGCTTGTACTTGTATTTACAAGTACTGTCCTGTTGCTGAGTAAATTAGTTTATGCCACACTAATAGGGGTGCATGTGTAGACATGTGATGTTCACTGCACAGCTAATTAGTCTACTGCGCTGCAAAATGTTTTGTGTAGATATGCCCTGTAGCTCATAATCTGTTCCTCCTCTTACCTTCTTCTGGATGAAGTTTAAAATGTGTAGGCCTGACAATTACTGGAAGCCTGTGAATAAGACACTTTTGCTACTGATAGCAGTGTCTTATTTCTGTATGAGCAATGGGAGCTTGGAAGGGCTATCACAGGAGGAAGTGATGGTATTGAGCCTGTATTGCCATTTAAGAGAAGCTTAAGTGTTAGGATGGCTACAGCCCAACTAAAGCAATAGGTTCCTGTGTTCCCATTACTTTTTAAAAAAAAATGCTATCACAAATTTATTTTACTGACTTACCTTTCTTCCTTTAACAGTTATAAAAATGCTAAAACTCTCCAAACATCTATGTCAGTGTTGATTTCTGATGGGACTTTCATGAGTTTGATCCAAGAAAATACAACCATGACATTCCCTAGTGAGATGGAATGTAATAAATGAGGCTGCAATTAATCAGGCAGTTTACTGACTATGGTGGGCAATATAACTGTATGAAAATCATATATATAAAGTTTTAAAGCAGTCTCCAAAATGTGGAAGGGTCTCTTGATGGGGCGGGGGGGCAGGGGTGATGCTTTTTTCTCCCGTGGCCATTACTGTACACTGGAAATCCTAACAGCAACGCAGGTAACTGGAAACTTTGGGAGGAAAATGTTCAAAGCTGCTAGGATCTTGTCTTTTGTTTTCACATGTCTTGTAATCTTATTTATAATATAAATTAACTCAGATAGGACAGTATGTTTAAGAACTTTGAATATGCTCATCACTACAGTAGCTACAGTAAGATTAATCATGCCAACCCTCGCTGAGTCAAAAAAGGGGAGAAAAGCTCATCAGACAAAGTATAATCTGTATTTTAGTGAAGACAATTAGTTCCAACTACAGCAATCTTTTTAAAGTAAAAGTTTTTTGATTCACAGTAGATAACTTCTTGTTAACTTCAGTAAAACAAAATGTTTACAACTGTTCAAAATGCAAATGCTCCACATAAAATCTATCTTCTTCTGATAAATACGTTTTAAGAACAATGCTTCCAAAAAATAGGAATTATTGAGACCTGTCTCATCAAGCAACTTTTGTCTGAACATTATTAAATAGTAAAAATTCAGAAGGCACTTGGGCAAAGAGGGTAAATATGCAATGACGTTCAGAACTCCATTTCATATGTGTGCATGTGGAGGGTGGTCATGGTAGAATCAAAAGAAGCTAATGACTCTACAAAATAAGTCTGAGTTCAAAAGCTGAACTGGAACAACTTTAATAGTAAAGTTGACAAGTTGACAATCCTGTACAAGATGCTTCAGTTATAATACAAATTTGCAATTCAGTAAAACACTGAGTTTTAACTCTTCAGTCATTTAAATCCTCAATTTATCTCAATGTTGTTGATACAAATAAAAATCCTGAGGAGCTCTTCAAAACAAGTCACCCTCACTTCAGCTGGTATGACATTACAGAATATTACTGTAAGGGTGGCCTGGGTCTGGAACAATGCTGTTTCTATAAATCTACCCAACTACCGATTGTTTAGTCAATCACTAAAGAATAAAACCAACTAACCCCAGACACACAGAGAGAGACACAGACACACACACATAGACACACACGGAAGAAGTCCAAACTACAGCTGAAGCAAGATTATTTGCCTTTCAGACTGATGTCAGACAATTCTTTAGTGTATGGGATGGGAGAGTACAGCCTGACTCATATTTCTGCATTGCAGAGTGGTCTGGTTACATCTTATCCACCAGCCAAAAACAATGAATGTGGAGTGTTAGGAGAAAATTAGATCTTTTTTATGGGACTAAAAAAAAAGTTGGAGCAGAGGATGAACACCACATCATTTCATTACTGAATGATCCCAAGACCTAGACCAGGAGAAAACCTTCCTTGGTACATGGCTGGTCTGAGCAAATGGGGGAGGCAGAGTCCCTTTACAGATCCTTGGAATCCTTCCACTGCAAAATCTTTTAGAAATCATGCAGACAAACCCAGGTACCCATGAATTCCAACTAATCAGTTTTTCTTGTTCTATCATGAACTGGACCTAATTTATATTTGAATCATGGTGCTTTCTATTGTCACAGCTTCAGTATATGTTGAATTTTATCCACCTTCAATACTCCTTAAAGTTCATCCTGTATACAGAGACAGAGAAAATTATATTTAAAAAAACATTGATAAATGGCTCTTCTTTCTTCCCATCAGCAATTCTTCGTTTTCCTGCAGTAGTTCTTTAACAACTTAGCTGGAGAAGCATTTATCAAAAGTGATGCTGCAATACTGCAATGAATTGAAAGACCATTTCTCTCCTGACTGAATGCAACAATTCTAATCTTGGTCTGATACGTCTGTTACTGTGGTGCCTGCCTGTTAACACAAGTGTAATGCATGTAACTAAAGTGCGCTACTTCCCAACTAGCCCCTGATAAAAGATGGTCCTTTGGTGTAGTCGCATAAAACTGAAATTTCATCATAGCTGGTGCAAAAATAGCCTCAAGCACAGAATAACTGGCTCTGAAATAGCATCTCTTTTCTGCTCTTCATAGAGAACACGCGATTATCTAGCCTGATGGAAAATAACACTGTAATTGCAATAAGTCTGTAAGTTAAATGCTTGTTCAAGCTTCAGCATTTTATATTGTATGCACATAAGGAACAAAGGGTAAGGCTGCTGTAACGGTTATTCTTTATATTAACACAAGTCTATAGAAAAAGGCCATAAACACACATTTCTTACCTTGTTTCTAGGAGATTTGTTTCTCCTTCCTTTATTCTGAATGGCCTCTAGTCTTTCAATCAGAATATCAGCTATGCCTTTTGCATCTCTGCTGTTTATGTGCTCCCCAGCAACATTTTTCTTAAAAAAAACCCAAAAATACACTTTCAAAGCTTTCTTTACACTCAGGAGAGCGATATGCTTCCTTACATTTAGAACAGGGGTGCTCAACCTGTGGCCTGCAGAGCCTTGGAGTCCACCTTGCAGGGCTCCCCAAAGGATGGGAAATTTGCCAACGGGGGAGCAGTGGTAGTACTGCCAGCCCTCCCTGCTGCCAAAATACCAAGCCCCACAAGGCAAGGTGGAGCTAAGCCAGGATCCTCTGCCCCACCTTGCCAAACTGGAATCAAGGCATGCCACCTTCCCTCTGGATGGCCAGGATAGGGTTGTGCTGTGCCCCTTTGCTCCACCATGGGGCTGGGCCACATGCCCTTCACTCTGCCCTCCAAGGTTGGGGCTGGGACATACCCCCTTCCTCCTGCAAGGCTCTGCCACACTCTCCTCCCCACACAGGGCTGCATTAGGGCTACACACCCTCCCCCTCCTGCCAGGACATGCCTATTCCCCCCTGTGGGGCCCAAGTATGGCTAGATTGGAACCTGGCTGCCCCCCTCCCCTGACTGTGCAGCTGGATGGGGCTGCTCCAGATCCAGATCACAGGAGGGATCAGGCACTGCCCATCCAGCTTTCTGGCCAAAAAGGTTGAGCACTAATGAGTTAGAGGATCAGTACAGGTCTATAATAGTATAGGTCTATAAAACTGTTTAAATCCCTAAATGAAGGTAAATTTTTCTCTTCAGGGTAATAAATATGAATCTATTAAAAGTATTTGTGATAAAGACGCTAGGAATTTGATACAGCAAAATATTAATTTTCTAAGTTATAGCTACTACAATTGTGTGTGAATTTTTTTTAAACAATACAAACATTGTGGTGTTAGTAATAGACAAGTTACAGAAAAATCCAAAGCTTAGTTATAATACTTGGAATACCTATAATGAATATTTATTTTAGAAGTTTCTATCACTACTACCAGCAGTCACTAAATCTCTCAACATGGGCTAACATTTTGAGGCTTGAACTGAGAAAAGCGACTCCCCCAGTAGAAACTGAAAGTCAGTATGTAGCCTAGTTAGGCAGCAATATATATACCCAGAAATAAGGAATACAACATTAATGTGCTTTATAAATATTAAGTAGTAACTATTGATAGATAGATAAATATGTCAAGCATGCCCTATTAGCCTACCACAAAGAGACGCTAATTATTTACCTTTGCTCCTTGGTAGGGATAAAATTTAACAGTAGGGTAGGCTCTGACATCAGCAGTTTGGCAGGTGTGAGCATAAGCCTGACAGTCAACTTTTCCAGCTTTAACTTTTCCTTTAACAGTCTAGGGGGGAAAAAAAACAGAAAACCTTTAAGATAAGCAATTTTTTTTAGTAAAATGCACTTTAAACCTCTATATTGGACTCAAAATATTGATGAAAACCGAGCAGAAAAAGATGATAAAGTATGTATCTGTTTATTCTATCACATGTAGATAAGGGGGAAAAATGTCAATGTACAGGAAACCCCTGCTTAATGCGGTTTCACTTAGTGTTATTTCACTAGAACTTTTCTTTTAAATTGATACCTGATTTGACTTAGTGCCCAGAGAGTTTTGTTATAACGCTCACAGTTGCCATCTTTGGTCATTAAAAACACTTGCAGTCACCATCTTGGGTCGTCAAATACTTTTGGTTTTGGTAATGCTCATTTCGCTTAATGCTCAGGTTTTCAGGAACCAATTAAGAGAGCTAAGTGGGGGTTGCCTGTAGTTAAGTTATTTCTAAAAGTGGAACTTAAACACTGGAGTTCAAATACAGTTGACTTTCCATCTGCCTAAGTTATGTGGCCATGCACTTAAGCAACATTTTCAAAAGTAACTTATGAGAGCAAGTGAGGGTACTAGGGACGATGTAAACGATGACAACCGTACTAACTAACTAGTAGGAAAATTAAGTATCAACATTTTTACCTGAAGTAAAAGAAGGAAATAAATACAGAATTGCTGTGTGTTTACTAATACTCTTCCATGTAACATCCTCTTCTCTACGTTGGCTTATGTTTGGCAAAAGCAGAAAAGTGCTGGAAAGAGGCTCTAAACTCTCAGTTTTTGTGGAAGATGGATTCTTCCAGTGTAGAAGGAAGTCTTCTTCATGTTTATTTACTGTGTTTATGGGTCTGCTCGTCCTACAAGCCGTGGCACAAGGAATGCAACTGGGGAGTGGAAAGAATGTGTTGGGGTGGGACAATAGCAGAAAGAGAGCCACGGCCTCCAGAGTAAGAACATTAACTGCTGTTAATCGGACAGACCACTAGGACTTCCTGTTATGCCAAAGGTCACTCCTGCACTAGCAGCTGCTCTGTAGCTGCAGAGTCATCTTAGCTTCTTTCCGTCTCTAGGCAGCAAATTCTCTTGCTTTTTTCAAAGGTGCACTATAGGAAGGGAACTGGCATATAAACCTTTCAAATTTATTTCAGTCTTTGGGAAGCTGGGCATGGATGCACCAAATTTTCTCCCCATGAGCACAAGCAGCAATACTATGAAATAATAGGATTCTCCTCTTTTATACCAGTGGCACACTAAAGAACTAAACTCAGATTTAGGAGGTTTGGGCTCTGTTCTCTTTTTTGCCACAAACATCTGTTCTGACATTAGTCAAGTCGTGAGACTTCGATCTGAAAAATGGTGATAGTATTTCCCTCTGTCTCAGCAATGCTTGACGATACATTCGCATGATTATGAGCACAGTAAATAAATATTTTGTAATACTTCAGCTGTAATTTCTCTCTTTCCCTGTTAAAAATATCATGTTTCCTTTCCCCAACTTTAGAGGATAATTGGTTGCAAACATAATGTTAAGAAACAAACAAAAAAGGAAATTAAGTTTTAGAGTTTTTCAATAAATATTTAACTTCTTGGAAACAGTACACATACCTGCTGTTATAACTTCTGAAGAAGAGCATCACGTAAAAGCGTGGCATTAGTTTGCTTCTGATATACACAATATGATTTGCTAGTATCGACAGATAAAATCTTACCCTGGCTAGGACCTCAAATTCTGGAGCAAAACTTTGGCAAGGGCTACACCAAGGAGCATAAAAATCAATGACCCAATGATCCTTGCCATGCAAAACTTTTTCTGTGAAACTCTGAGGTGTCAGATCTACAGATACTTGAGGTAAATAACTGTGCAAAAGAGGGAAAAAACATATATTTGTTGTTATATAATACTTATAAAAATAGTGACAGCTTTTAAAATATGCTCACATTTCAATATATACTACAGAAAACTTCCAAGAATTGGGGAGCTACAACAGACTCCTTTTTTAATACATAAAAAGTAGATATAACTTTTGCTTCATTGCTTACTGAAGCAACAACTGAGGTTATCACCCAATCTGGGTATGGGGGACCTGTGTAGGATTTGTCCGTGCGATTCAGACAGCGTTTCTTCTTAATGAAATTGTTGACTTTCTTCAGAAGAATAAATCTGGTATTTACTCTGAAACTGGGAAGGCAGGCAGCTATGCCCAGATGCAGTAGTACTGCTCTATTAACTGTTGTGGGCTCCAGAAACTGGCAATACCTTTACTTCCCTAGGAGTAAAAGCAGCTCCTACACAATTTTTCTAAGGTGTAAATTAACAGATTATAGGGACTTTGAAATTGTCTTTTATTAAACAACACATGCATCTGCCTAGGTGGTCTTGTAGTGCAAAAGTAATGACGTAGCCATGATGGTGCAGGAATTATGAGAGAGGCAAGGGCTGTTGTGGTTGATATTGTTTATTGGACCAGCTGCATGGCTGGAACAGACTTAGACAAGCTTTTGAATATGAAGCATTCTTCATCATTTGAAAACTTGTCTAAGTCTATTCTAACCAGCTGTTCCAATAAAATATATCACCCACAACAATCCTTCCCTCTTACTCTAGAAGCAGAAGTCTTTCTACTTCTTTATTTCTATGGTTTTCTGTACCTCATTTTTCCTAGAAACAGAACCATTAATTTTGTGAACAAACTTTAATATAACAACTCACCCTAATGCCCAGCTTCTCAACGAGTGTGAATCCCTGTGCCAGCCATTGTAGTTGCTATGAGAAAATACAAAAGAATACTAATTGCTTAATAGCATATTTACCAAGTCTTTCAAAACTCATTAAAACTAAGTGGACAAGCAAACATTAATGCACAATTCAGCTGAACTTCAGAAAACACTGTTATAGTTTAGATGCTAGAACAATTCCTTGGCTTTCAAATCTTAACAGATTAAAAAGTCTGAATATTAAAATTCAGTGATCGAAATCTTGAAGGATGAGAATATGGAGAGAAAGAAGAAACAAGTCTATGAAACAATTCTATGTAAAGTTAATGGGGAAGTAAGTTGTACTTTAATTCAATGCAATTTTTGACATTCAAAAGGCCTGTTGAATATGATGTCTTTCGTAACATTTCAGATTAATTTGCTAAATCTAGTACAGGTACAGTAATTGAAAAGGATATGATCAAGTAGAAAACCTTTTAGAAATCCTTTGACATTACAGGTAAAACTTACTAACTATTATGTTAACATTCTAAAACTCATATTTCATTATTTTATTAATACTGATGGATTGTTGATTAAAAAAATATTTCTGTTGACATTTTAAATATATCAGCAAGTCATTTCCGTTGATCGCAGATTTTGAGAGACCTGAATTTCTTACGCATAGATTTATGGGCAAATCCTACTCAACGGTTCTCAGTGATATTGATTTAAAGACCCAGAACTGAGGTAGTCTGCAAATTAAATTCCCATATTTCCTGCTGAAGTGGAGATTTCATTGAAAAGATTAACAAAATAGACCATATTTTCAGAGAGATATGTTATCCTTAGGAGAGATTTATATAGAAGAATAAAACAACCTTTGTGATTAGTCCAATAATCAAAACCAAAACAACCTCTTATTAAACACTACTCTGAACAGACTAAATAATTTACTATCTATTAGCATTTAATGGAACTTTTTAATTGTACAAATAATCAATCTATCCCAATTAAAAGTTCAATGTTTTTCTTCAATATTCTATAGGTCAGAAATGTAAAAACTATCGCCTATCCAAATAAATTGGTGTGTTACTGTAAAATGTGCATGTTCTTTTTTTTATTTAATTGTCATTGTTTACTGCCCAGAGCAGCACTTTCGTTGCCCTTAACTATCCAATATTAATGACACAGTGAATGGGCTGGCTGAATATGTGAAAGGAACTATTTTATAACATTGCTATCGGACAATTTCCAAAGAAGATCATGGAATGTATACATTCCTCTATATTTAAAAATAAGGTTGTATTGAAGTATTTCACAGGGAGTCGAACCTATTGATACTTTTTTTGCAGAAAATAACACAGCCTACAATGTAAGAAACCACTGAGCGCAGAGAAGAGCCCATTAGTAATAAACTTATTCTGTGACAAAGGTTTTGTATCAACTACAAATTTAGTTGAACGCACTGAAACAGTAATAACCACTTGTTTGAAGCTACATAATGCAGTGTTATGTCTCTAACAAATGCCTAATTAAAGGTAGGAACCTCAAACCTTAAACTAACTTTTTTTGTGCATTAGGTATTACACAAGTAGAAAAATTACAATACTTATGAAAACAGTCATGCTAAAAAGAGCTTTGACTTGTGAAAGAGCCAATTATCCCTAATATGACCCTTTTATAACAGATTTTCAACACAAAATACAGTCTGAATTCATTTTGCTACAGAAGCCATAACATATTTTCCAAATTTAAATAGTTTTAATACTTACTAATAATGATGAGCTGTGTTTGCTTTTTGGGGAAAGAGTCTTATTTCAGGATATCCCTGAACATTCTCTTGATGACAGAAAGAAAAATATTTTTGACAGTCCATGCTGCCAACATTGATTAGTCCATTTAACAACTGAAAGAGATGAAGAAAAAAATGTATTGTCTAGTTAAAGGGCATTTGTATGTGCTCCTGGATGCGGCACAGGGTGCTTTAATTAGTGAGCCACACTAATTAAGAGTACCTATATGTCATGTGTATCAGCATCACTGTGTGATCCTGTCCTGAAAAAATGGTGGCAGAGTGCTTTGAACTAAAGCTCATCAGATGTATTTTATTTCAAAGTGCCCCACCATCATTTTGTCAGCACAGAGATGAGTGGCAACGCTCATACGTGTGATGCACGAGGCTGCTGGAGCATGTTAATTTCCGTGCTCCAGCAGACTCTATTAACCTAGTTTGCTCTGATGCACTGGATTTCCAGTGTTTTGGAGAAGGCCCCCCACATGTGTACAGGAGCCCAAAATGACTGGGAAACCATATTAGGGTTAGTCTATGACATCTGAACCAGATGCCTTATGGAATAGTTTAGCATTTTGAATAAAGTATTTATTTCCAATTTTAACCTCAAAAGCCCAACATACAAACAGGAAGAATGCTGATTTTTTTTTTTTCACTGGATCTGTATGTGTATAGGCAGGCATGCCTACCTACATATTTTGCATGTAGTACTGCATATTTATGTACACAGCCTTGATCAATGGTCAATGTACACACATGGCTTGATAAGTTCTGACCCACTCATATAGGTGCACAAAATTAAGGACTTGTAATACTACCTATGCAAATTATGTCACAGGACTATGCAAAGCAAGCACACAACTATGTACTAAAACATGTTTGTTCATATGGCTGAAGACGACCTGTTTCAGAATACATAATCAAGTCTATTTATTTAACTCAGTATTTTTATGTAGAAGCCCTCAGAGAACAGGGTTTCTACATAAAAAAACTAATGTAAATACCTAATGTTTGATTCCTTTAATTAGAAATTTAAAATCAGCTTCTGATTGAAGCTTCTGGATATTACTTTAAATATGAATAAATATAGCAAACCATTCATTAGGAAAGTTAGAGGCTTGCTTGTTTAAGCCATTTCAATATCAGCGTGCACATATAAAGGAATTGATGTTTTTACACAGGAGTTGTCACCTAATTTACAATACATAAGGAAAGATACTTGACAACTTGTTTCTTTAAAAACATATCCAAGGCAAAATTATGGGTTTATAGCTTATTATAGCCAAGACACTGAAAACCTGAATGACTGAAGTAACATAAAACCTGAATACTGAAATTAACATAAATTGCCAAGCAGGAATTCCCTGTTTTCTGTCATCTAAATATGTAATCTTCTGTAACTAGTAATTTTTCCAGGTACAATGTTGCATAGCTTCAACATTGCCACTACCTAGGATACTGAAAAAAATTTGGGCATGAGATTTGTACCCTGGCCATCCTTTTCCACTCTGGCATTAAAGCTTGGCAAGGACCACACCATGGAGCATAGAAATCCACCATCCAGATTTCATCTTTCTTTCTTCTTTTTACTAGTTCATTGAAAGTGTCTGGTGTTAGGGAGATCACTGATGGGTTCCTGAGATCCTAAAGGGAAGGAGATTCACACTTCACAACAAAGTCCTTATTTTACATAGAACGTTGTCAAATACAAGTTCACTCCCCATAATTCGTTAGATTTATGTGCCATCCACCCCACAAAAGCCTTAGTTTACAATAAAAGACAAAAAAAACTTATAAAAACAAAGCAACGTAAGAAAGCATAACTCAAATTCCCTCCCCAAATCCCCCCACAAAACTTGAAACCAATCTACTCCATCCTAGCCATTTCTGTTAAAGTAACTCAGGCTGTCCAACTTCTGAGAAGCCAGGGCCACACACTGCATGAGTCGTGGCCAGTCTGGGCCTGTGGGCTGCACTGCCAAACACCCCAGCAGTGGACATAGAAGCTGCAGGAGGGAAGGCAAGTCTGGAGACCTCAGTGCAGCAGAAGCAATGGGAGGAGTGGCAACAGGGTTGGGAGCATGTGAGCTGAGTGTTAACCTCTCACAGGCTGCCAGCTGGACAGCCCTGTTCTAATTAAAATGGCCTGTTTTACAGGATTTTAAGATTATTGATTTTTTTTCAAATGTTCTATGCTCCTGAAAAAAAAGGGTGAGGGGTGTTAAGACTGCACACTACCTCATTAAAGTGATAAAACTTTTCCCCATCCTAGGTATATATATGGGCCTCAAACCATAGGATTTGAATACCTCACAATTTTTAACATTTATCTGCCCTATCACCTCACTGATTGGAAACTAGGGACACAGTTTGCCAAGAGCTGCACAAAAAAAAAAATGTGGCAGAGCAGGGAGCTGAACCCAGATCTCTCAAGTCCCATATCAGCATCTACTGGAATATTTCTTCACCTCAGATTTCTTCTCTACTCCCTCTCTCTCATTTTAAGAATAGGGGATATTAGGATGGTTGCTTAGTAAACATATCTTGAAATATTTCACATCCAAATAGCCTGAGTCTGAACAGGAATGGGGTACTAATGAATCAAAACATGCTAGAGTAAATAACTTGGGACTCACATACCTCTATAAACTCCAAAATCTGCTCAGCAGAGTGATGTCCTTCATATTCATGAATGCTAGACTGGTTGAACACCACTGTTGTTGGATATGCTCTAATATTATGCTGTTGAAAACGCACACAAAAAACCATGAAGGAATGGGTAGGGTTTTCTTTAATCCTAGTTTGCTGGTAGGACATTAAACACCAGTAACAGGAGCTTGGGAGTGTTTATTATTAATAAATAGCTTAAGATTGGAAGGCTTGGACTGAGATTGTGGCTAGTTCTCTAAAGCCTAATTCACTGTGAAAAAAATGTTGGCTGGTTTAATAGATTACTCTGGAAATTTAAAAACCAGTGGGCACTCTGTGTTTAAATAAAATAATCCCAGTCTTTTCTGAAGCTTGATTTAAGATGCACTCTACACCAAAGAAGAGGCAAAGAGACTTGTACTATGCTAAGAATTGTACCTTGAAGCTGCTGTTAGTAAACCCTGATGAATCTATGATTGAAGGCCTTTGATATGAGTTCATTAATTAACCCTTAGCTTTTAAGATTTTCAATTTTATGCCAGTTATCTGTCTTTACTCACTTCAAATCATACATTATAAAACACAAATATCTAGATGCAGGGATCTTCACATTGAGGGCTGGCATCCTCAAGAAGGTTATGAGTGAGCAACTACAGCTGCAGCAAAACTGCCAATACCTTATGACTACGGCTCTGCGAAACAACACCATTCTGCTTCAACTTCCGTTTTGATGGAACACTGTTTCGAGTTTTGTTTAGTTTCAAAAGCACTGTTCTGTTTCACTTTGTCGAAACAACGAAACAGTTTTGACTTGCGGCCCATAGGCTATTCCACACCCAGCACCAGGAAGATCGGTGCTGCCACTGGCCTCAGCTGGCAGCACCAGCCTCCTGTCATCCAGCAGGCAGATCAGGGGCCCACACCCCCGGGAGGAGTCCGGCATAGCCCCCAAAGCCCTCTCAGGGGGTGCAGGCAAGCTCCTGATCTGCCCGCTGGGGCCAGTGGCTGCACTGATCTTCCCAGTATGGGCTGCGCCCAGCCCCAGTCCCAACCAGCAGCACCAGCCTCCTGTGATCTGGCAGGCCAATTGGGGGCCCCCTGCACCCCTAGGAGGGCTTTGGGGGCTGTGCCGGACTCCTTCCGGGGGTGTGGGCCCCTGATCTGCCTGCTGGATGACAGGAGGCTGGTGCTGCCACCTGGGCCATTGGCAGCACCAACCTTGCTGACACTGGGTGCGGGCTGCACCCAGTGCTGTCCCAGGTGGCAGGAGCATCTGGCACGCCGACTGGGGGCCCCCCTGGGAGGTCTGCAGGGCTCTGCTAACTCCTCCTAGGGGTGCGGGGGGCTCCAGATCAGCTTGCTGGATCACAGGAGGCTGGTGCTGCCAGCTGGGACCGATGCTGGGTGCAGCCCGTGCTGCGAAGATCAGTGCTGCTGCTGGCCCCAGCTGGCAGCACCAGCCTCCTGTCACCTGGCAGGCAGATCAGGGGCCTGCCTGCACCCCTGGGAGGGCTGTGCCAGATGGCTCCTGAGGGTGCGGGCTCCCGATCTGCCTCTCGGATGACAGAAGGCTGGTTCTGTGATCTGTGTAGGGACCCTCCCCCACCCTGGGATCGTACCACAGCCAACCCAAGGCTTTTTTTTTTCATTTTGAGCTCAAAATGCATTGAAACAGTTTCGAAATGAAACACCAGGCGAAATTTCGCACAACCCTATTGATGACCTGTAGGACCTACTGTATTTGGTGCAAGGCAGTACTATGCTGAGAGATGCTACTTCGCTGCATGTGCATGTGTTAGCTTGGCTGCAGCACTATATTACACAACAATATTTCTTCTGGCTTGCAAGGTTCTATGTGGTGTTTTCCCTTTGAATGGGCCAGCTACAAATAAATAACCTTTACTGAAAAATACTGAAGCTTACCATATTGCAGAGCCCTTCGTGGACTGTACAGTCCAGTGTGCCAAATTTAAGTTGACCATAAAGGTGTTTTGATGCTTTTCTTAACTCTGGTAGTAAAGCTCGACAAGGAGGACACCACTAAAAGAAAAATGAAAATTACGTGCCACTGTTAAAACAAAAGCCCTAAAATACATCAGTAACTAGTTATCTGGAGCAATGCAAGTTGTTTGGTCAGAATGCATGTTGATTTCACTCTGACATGTCAAACAAGTAATTATTTGTTGATACAATACACTAGAATTCAGTAAAAGATAAAGACGTGCAATGAAGGTCAGACTCTATACAACCAAGAATCACAGGATTATTATGGTAGTCCTCAGGATACAGAATTGCTTTCCTGGTGCTTTGATAAAATGTTTACAAAATTTATTTTAAATACAAAAAAAAAAGTAGTGTGGTTAGTCTACTCACAGGTGCAAAGAAGTCAACAAGCCATGGCTCATTTTCCTTGCCAGGAAAATTCTGAGGTCCAAGTGTGATAACGTAAGAGTTTACACTCTCTTTGGCAAATGCAACTATATCATATAAAATCTTCTTTCCTTCAAAACAAAATCAAAACTTCACTCTTTATCTATAGACTTAGATAGACTTATCCATTGACAGAACTCCATATTTTTCATTAAGTGCATGTGATCTACCTTATTGCTAATATGCTCAGAGTGTGCTAAATGCTGTACAAGAGATTAGGCTGAAGAGCTAGATAGGGTAAGTCTTATCATTACCCATAGTGGAGCCTTATTCAAAACTTATTTAAGGAATTTCATCCTAGGTTATGTAAACATTAACTGGTCTAATGATATATAGGTAATAAGTACTGCATTTCTTGGATATTGGGCTAATAAGAAAATGTTCTTCATGAGAGGTTTAGCCAGGATAAAATGTAAAATTGGTAAAATACTTCCCTAGCTTATGTATATATTAGAAGCATTTTGCCAGCATAAGAATATTGAAATACTTAATAATAAACAGTTCTTGATGTAGACACAGCTATATTGGCCAATGTACACTTTGTACAAGCACAGTTACAACCTCTTCCACAAATAGAACTGGAAAAGCATGGTTTTCCTGGTAGAGCTGAGGATACTCATGGCACACATCAGCTAGGATTAATCTCACAGACCGGTGATGTTTTCACCATAAAATTCTTCAAGCTCTACTTACCTTTCCTTCTCCATAATTTTCTCAGAAATAGAATGATATAATACATTGGATATCTCCAAGTACCAAAGGAAAATTTTAATGGCAAGTTATAGAGATACCACCTACTTTGTAAAAACAGAGTCTGAGGAGAACATATTCATTTTAGGTAAAAAAAATATGCCTTCATAAACTTGCAAGACTGTAAAATTAATCAATAATTATTCCAGTTCATGAGGACTACAGCTTCAGGAGTGATGACCTTACCAAGGTCACACTTATCTAACAGGATTACTATTGATCCCTGTTCTAAGGCAGCGGGTTTAAAATTCATTTATAATGATCCATCATCCATAAGGAAATCTTCTGTGTCATCAGGGTAAGGTTTGTTCTCTCTAGTCAGGCAAAATATTTACTTTCTTTTCTGTATGATCAGACTGAAGTTGTGTGGTTGAGCACTCTTGCATTCTATGCTCTTCGTGCCTTGGAGCCTGAAAGCCAGATACTCAGCTGGTTTAACTCTGCTTAATTCCACTGAAGATGTTGACACTATCTATCAGTTTACAGTAGCTGCAATTCTGCTCAGTCTACACTACATTTTTCACCACTTCGAATTCTTTCAAACAGACCCAATGATTTTGTAGGTTTGGAACTAATTTACTCCTATTTTGCAGTGAAGTCTATATGGCAGATATGCCCATAGACATTTCTGGTTAATTGGCTGAAGCTGATTGGTTAATTTTACCAACGTTTGTCTACTGACATATGTAAAATTAGAGATCAGATCCCAAGCTTTGCCAGCTGACAGCATTGTGAAAGCAGTGTGTCTGGACTCTGGGGAAGGGCGTGCCTTATATCACTGCCTAGTTATAACAGCCAAAGCAAGGAGCAGCAACAATTAACTTCAGGGGTTTCCATTCAGGTAGACTGTAAGGATGCATCTGAACCAGAGGGGGAGTACAAGCTGAATACATCAAAAGGATACGATTTGGGCTCTAAATATTTACAGAAAGGGAAAAAGAAAAAGGAATGATAAAATTAAGAGTGGGGCAAAAGGCTAATATATCACCCAAAATTATAAGGCAGTATAATTTTGAATAGTTGGCACAATTTTATATATATAAATAAAATTGGTCATGAGAATATAATATCGTCTCAAAGGAAAGATTACAAAATAGTTTAAAAATGCTTTTTCAAAGTTTGCCTTACCATGATGAATTTCATAATCTTTCATTCCTTTTCCTTTAAAGACAGCGAGACATGGCTGATAGACGTATAGATTACTGCAGATGTCTGGTGCTGAAAGACAGTCAAACTTGCCAACCTATTATATAGGCAGCAATGTTTTTTTAATTTATTTTAATAGTACAAATAACTTACTTAAATTAGAAAGTTTAGAAAGCTAAAATATTTCTCCACAATAACTCTTGGTTAAAAATATGTTATCCTTTTATAAATAATAAAGATCTTGCTACGATGATTAAATATTATAGTTCATACATATACCTAATGCAACTCAAACACAGCTAGATATCTTTCAAGACAGAGAAAAAAAACACACACAAACTGACTCTACTAATACTTCAAAGATAGGTCATGGAAAAAAACCTAGAACATATGTGATCTTTAAGATTAGACTTCTTAATAGCTGAATCACAGCTGAGCAAATATGAAGCACACTGATAACAATGGTTAAATCCAGTGGACCTGCAGGCACCCTGCATTCTAGAAAGCATCTTTTCTAAAGTCAAAGACATTACCCCAGATTTATAGTGGTAAACTTTGTCTCAACATTTATGACTGCCAGGTGATCATGAGGAAAGTAAACATGAAACAGCTTGCTAATAAGAACTTAATAGAGCTAATGCTTAATAAATGACTATTCTTACTTGAATATGTTCATCTTTAAGTAGGAAGTTCAGTTTTTTAAATTCATGCACATTTGACTTGTCACTCTGACCAAAATGAAAGAAAAGCAGCCACCGGTGGTGAGCCAGATGGTCCTTAAAGTGGGAAGAACGCAGAGAAAATGTCTTAACTTCCAGTTTCATTCATGCTATTGTAATTCAGACACTAAGTTATTCATTTGAACCCTAACCTTTTTATCCAGTTCTTTCACACCACCCTTAATACCATGTAAAATTAACTCCTTTTCACTGCTTTACCACCAAGGAAATGAACACGTTACTATGTTGAATTTTTTAAGAAAACAAAACAAAACAAAAAGAACTGCCTCAGATTTATCTATCTTGGACCAGATGAAAACTTTGCTGTTTTAAAAAGAGCTACTGAAGTTGCATTCTCCTAAGCAATGGCACACTTTCATTATCTAAACAATGTCATAAAGCTAACCCAAGGAGGGTGATATTTAATTTGATTATATTCTAACAGACTAAATAGATGTGACTGAATCTTTACTGCTTGCTGTCCCAGTGACACTGAATTGATTTAGTGATCGACAATCTGTTAGGAATTTAGTCAAATAACAAATCAGAGCAATTACAGTATTATGCCACCCTAAGCAGTGCTATACTAACAACTTCTGAGGTTTATTCAAACTTTTCTGTTTTTTTAAAAATACTTTCTCCTGTTGCTTTGTGAAAAGCCCCATACAAACCAGGGCAACAATGAAAGTAAACAAAGACAAAAGGCTGTCAAAGTAACCTGAAGAAAAATATATTTTTCAGTTACAGTAATGTACTATTTGGGCCAATTTGAAGTGAAAGCTTCTCAGAAACAAAAGTAATTGTCTTCAGTATAAGGTTTCCGTTTAAACTTAAGTTTGTATTACCTACATTTCTATATATAATTTTACCTCTAATGTGACTGCAGAGAGCATTTCAAAATCTGGAAGATGCTGCATTACTTCTAAATATATCTCTTTTGCATCCAAGGAGTTAAGGAACTAGAGGGAGGCAAAAAGTCAATCTCTATTAAATGAAATAGACAAATATCAACCTTGTTTAGTATTCACAACTTCAGAAGAATTAACTCTGATTAGTTCCCATCCATTAACATTTGTTTCAGACTTTTCACTTAGGGCACCTATACACGAACAGCAAGGCTGCTGTGACGTGCTGTAATTACAGAGTGTTGGAGCAGACTCAACTGAGTCTGCTGGAGCGTAGTAATTACAGTGCTCCACCATACTCCAATTTCTTGTGTATCAGTGTCCCTGCGCTGAAAAATTGCAGTGAGGACACTAACTAAAACTCATTTGACAAACCCTAGTTAAAGCACCCCCGCCACCATTTTTCAGCAAGGGCATACTGATGTACAAAATGCTCTGGGAGCTTTAATTAAAGCAGCTCCCCCCACTCCTGAAGCATGTGTATAAATGCCCTTAGTACCTAGTCCACTAAACAATCTCTTCTTTTAGCTGCTTAATTTTAACCTGTTCTTCTACTATACTTAAGACACATAATGCCATGCCTTGTCAGAATGAATGCTAAGAAAGGTGTGGTCTTCACTTTCAAAATACATTTAAAGTTTTACAAAGCATCTTTAAGAGTATTTTCACAAGATAGGTCACTCTATTTCAGTAGAGGTCCAGAAGAAAGAAAAGGGAAAGAAGTGATATTCAAATATGGTGGGTTTCCTGTAACCTCAATGTAGTTTTTTGCGACTTTCACTTTTGAAGACGGATGCAGGTGGCTGTAACATCAGCAAAGGAAGAAATCATGTTTCAGATGATTGATTTCATGCATAAATGTAAGAGTTAAAGGTGATATCATGATATGAAAATACATCATCTAAAGAGACAGGCAAGTGCATTTTCACTGTATGTGACTCCCATTTCCTTGAAAAACTAAGAGGGGCGTAACTCATTTGCCAGGGTATACAAAATTTAACAGCAGCACTTTATGTTAAAAGCATTAAACTGGGCACAAGCAACATACAGTTGTTTGATACAATGCATTCAACTTTGGTAAATATTTATAATCTACATTCTTATCACCAGCACCATATACATATTTAACAGTATAAAAGCAACTCATACCAGAACACCTCCTTTCTCTTTATTACTTAAGGTGGCTCCTGGGGGGAAGTATGCAGTAGTACTAGACGAGATATCCAAATTATCACAAAGCTCACCCTGGGTAGCACAGTCCATCCAGCCTATGTTAACAAGACCTTCCTGTAACAAAATAGCAAAAAACTAAGTGGCATTTTAAAACTCAGGTTCAGAAGAATTTTTGCAAACATAGCACTAGCAATTAGATTCCATATTTTAGAGTGAGAAAGAAAGCAAATTTACAGTACATCACTATAATACTTTTATGTTCACGCTGTTCATTAACACTATATGCAAACCTGTTTAAACATTTAATTCCATTCTAGCAGGCAATAACATTGTTTTTCACAAAACATATGCTTGAAACACTATTTTAAAGTTAATGGGTGAAATCCGAATCCTACTGAAATCAGTGAGAGTTTTGACATGGGCTTCAATGGAGTCATGTTTTCATAGTCTGGAATTTTGCTTTCAATGAAATTCTAAATGAAATTCTGCTTACCAACATGCCAGCTAATTTAAGGCGTGTTTGGGAACTCAGGCAATCTGGAAAATGAAAACAATGTTTTATGTACAAATATACTGTTTTACATTTTGAATTCATTTACCCTAATTTATAGTCTTCACCTCATTGAAAAACCCCATGGGAAGCAGACTACCATTTCAAAACACATGTTAGCTAGCCATTTCATGAGCTCTTCCACAGGTTTTCAAGTCATAACTCTGAGATGACCACTACAAGTGAAAAATAACATGAAAATATTCCTTCTTGACTTCATTAACAGAAAATCATTTTAGTTTAATGTTACTCATTTCTTACTTGGTTTATAATTCTTGCTTTTGAAAAATGTCTCTCCTGCTTCAGCCAATGTGAAGGCAAAAATACCTATTCAATAAACTTATTCAATTACTCCATTCAATAAAGAGTTTCTAGTCATTGATAAGACTTGACTTAGTATGAAAGCACGAGGATTTGGGGGGCATGAAAAAACACTGAACTATTGATCCAGTCTTAAAAGCCTGTCTACTACCCTGTAAGAAATCACACTTCTACAAATTCATGACTAAAACCTTGATCCATTCAACTCACTATATAAAGGCCTCTGTATCTGAGTTGAAGATTTCTATCACTCCACAGCTATAGAGAAGTCTTGTATGCTGTAACTTGTAACCAGACACAGGAAGTACTCAATGGCAAAACAGAAAAATAATTCCAAACTCTCTCACTGACAACAGCAGGAGTAGCAATTGGTATAACAGTATTCATCAAGTAAAACTTTCTAACTTACTATTGTTCATACATGTAACGCTCAGCCTGAAGAAAAAGTTACTACATAATTCATATGGGGAAATGCAGTCTGAGGCTTTCAGTGTGACACTCAAGAAGCTGGGAAAGTGGCATGACAAGTCTCCTGATTATTGGTAATGGACCAAATGGGGACACTGTGATTGCTACCTAAGAAATCTCTCTAAAAAAGCCTAAGGTGCTGTAAAGGTACATACAAAGGGGTAGGTGGCAAAGTGAATCATCACTATGCTCTATCACACTTGAAAAATCCTATACATTTTGAGCTAAACTGTTTTTATCAATCATCTTTCTTCCCCAATATCCAAAGAAACCTCTCTAACAATGTGGTTGTAACAGATTCTAACGACGATCAGTTTTTAGGACAATTGAGTGTCAATGACTACTACAGAAACTAGTTAGTTTTTTGCCAGTTCCTGAGTTCAGATCCTTTACTGAGGTTTAAAAAAATGCATTTCATTTTTAATTTTGTATGTAGTTGCTAAATTAGACAATTTAGAAAAATATGAAGATACAATAACATAGCTTGATCCTGTCAGGTGCTGACCTTTTGGTGTTCATTATATCCCAGCATTGGACCCTTATTTTAATAATAGTTAAGACAGACAAGTAATTATGTTAATTGACTCAGTTACAACAGGATGTTTGTTCTTCTGAAAATACTAATGGAAAAATGAATGTAACCAATCCAAAATACCACTGATTTATTTAAAAATAAACAAATAGTTATGCTTGCGAGAGATTCCTTCTGTATTACAGTTCAAGAGGGAAGATCCCTTCCCCTTCAACCTAAAACTAATATTAGGAAAGCTGAATGAGCTTATGAGCTAGAAACACAAATAGTTCTTTTGTACCTATTGGACAGGATGTGAAGATCACTGTAATAACGGTGACTCTATGGTCCCCACTCATAACTAGGCTTTATTATGAGCTAATACCAAGGTCCTTCTTGTATGGATATGTGGTAATAGAAGATCTCACTGCACAGTCTGTCCAATGTTCCCCTTTCCAAATAGCCTGATAATGAGCTTAAGAACTCCATAGGCCTCCCTCCAGTCTACAGATATCTTCCTTAGAGTAGCAGTAGATATGCCACTGTCAACCAAAATGGCAACAAGAATCATATTTTATCTTTAGTCAGTAGGGGTGCACTGATAGATTTTGGGGGCCAATACTGACACCTGAATTTTAAGGAGGCATACTGGCCGATACCGATCTGATTTTGGATACAGCTGTGTGCAGCTGATAAGTCTGTTGAAGCAGAAGAGGAGGGGGGATGGAAGGGGCTTGGAGGCGGGCAGATCAATCCCCCCCCACTGTGAGGGAGGGAGTGGGGGCTGAGGCAGGGGTATATGTTGCCCAGCTGGGCGCGGGACAGAGCCATGGCTCATCCGGGGGGATGTGTGTGTGTGTGGGGGGGTGCAGCTCCTGCTACTGTGCACAGCCTGGGAGCGCATGGGGGGGGGTGGGAACACGGACATGTGCCTCCTGGATCTGCGTAGGGGAGGCAGCAGCAGCGCTGGGAGGGGACTGTGGGGGGGCTGCAGCCACCCCAAGTTTCACCGCTGCCCCCCATATATTCCCCCTCCCAGTGCTGCTGCCTGTCCAGTGCAGCCCCGGCTCCTCCTGGCACATGGGTGGAGGCAAGGGTTGAGCTGGGGCTGTGCCAGGTGGTGGCACTGGGAGGTGGGGTTGAGGGGGGCTATGGTGAAATTTGGGGTCACTGCAGTGCCCCCTCATAGTGTCACCGCTACCTGCCCCAAGCCCAGCTTCCACCAAGAAGAGCCTGGTGCAGCCCTGGCTTCAGCCCACCTGCCCTGCCCTGTGCTGATTTGGGGGCACACCTGCTCCTTCGTCCCCTGCTGCCCTCCTGGAGTGTGTGCAATGGCAGGAGTGCTCCCCACCCCCTGCCCCGCGTCCCCCGGATGAGCCACAGCTCTGTCCTGTGCTGACCCTGTCCAGCTGGGCAGCGTTTGCCCCAGCCCCTGCCCCACTCCTTCCCTCACTGCAGGGGCATTAATTTGCCCCCTCCCACGCCCCTTCCTTTCCACCACAATGGACTTATCAGCTGCACACAGCTCTGCATGATGCCAGGCTGTGCTCTTCGCTGCTTGCATGCTGAGCTGCGGCTGCGCACACGCACGGGCATTTATTCGCCAAATTATTGGCCAATTTTCTTTATATGGTGCCGATCCAATATCAGACCAATGTATTGGTGCACCTCTACTAGTTAGTCTTATTTATTTGGAACCCCCCCATATATTTACCTCCACGATCAGCACAGAAAGTGATCAGCCAGCCAATGCCAGAAGCAAATGAAGTTTCAATAGCACTGACAAAGTTTCCTGTAGAAAGTGCAGCAAAATCTAAATCAATATTTGAAATGTTTGTTCTCATTAATATACACGGGAAAAGGTAACTTCTTAAAACTATGAAACAAGCATGTTTTACACTAGAACAAAAATATTATTTTATTTTTCAAATAGTATGTGCAAAAATTTGAAAAACTTTAGTAACAAATTGTGGCAGACATACCCAATGATACATAGTGGGGATTATGTTTATATCTCCTTATCTTGGGGAGAGGAAAAGAACAACAATGAAAATCCCAAATAAATCATATTACCTGCCCATAACTCTGTCACTGTGCTTGTGACATACTGCATGGCAAAACTCTTTAAGCTCTCCTTTGACCTGTCTCCAAAATATTTCACTGGATTCTACAAAATATAAAGTTTACAAAGCAACTATTAATAGCTATATGATACATAATGCTGTATTTAATCTATTTACACTGTTAATGGACCTGAAACAAAACCCTGAGAGGAAATGCTTTCACTAAGGAATCCATGTATAGATTTGAATGTTGTAGGTCAGGCCTTGCCTAATTTGCACGTGGCTTGCCTTTATTCCCCCTCTCCTTATAAAACAAGGATTAATTATTACTCACCATTCCAGTTTTGAAAACATAGAGACTTGGATAACTATTAATTCCTTTGATTCGACAGAGCATTCGATTATCACCACAATTCACAGCTCCAATGCGTATTACTCCATCCATTTCCTTAGCAAATTCTCTCCACTGGAAAAAAAAGAGGGGCAGAGGGTGGGGAGAAGGACAAAGGAAGAAGAGGAAGAAGAAGGAAAGAAAGCTTGGGATAAATGCCTTTAAAAAAAATCAATTAATTTTCACAATTCTTCTACCTGATGCATTTTTAAAAATCTCTGGCTTCAGCACAAAAGTCCACTTAGCAAAGTCTTGCTCTAACAGAAAACGGTGTCTATCTAAAATCCATTTTCAAAATTAGGATGCTGGTTTTCTATACATACCGTAGGAGCTAAATCATGGCAGTGTGAACATCGAGGGGAATAGAAATTTATGAACCATAACTCTCCAGAGTTAACAGCGGCATCTAGTTAGCAAGAGGAGAAAACAATAAAATAAGAACTTGTAAAATGCTTCCTCTTACAGTGTACACCTACAATTCACCACAACTAAAAAAACACATGCTCTTTATAATTCTGAGTTGAAGCTTCTCAATAACTCTTAGTTGATATTACAAATAAGTAGCATAGTGTAACAAGCAACTTTATTATGAAGTGTTGTTTCTATCAATTACACACTAAAGTGCATTATATGATTAAACACTCTCTAGCAGGTTAAAAATACACAGCATTTCTTCACGCACCGCATGTCTCTCCTCCTCCCTGTCTCTCCCCCACCCCCTCCCCCAGAAAGAAAGATAAAGGATGCACCTCATTTTTTGAGGGAATAATGTACAAAAAAGTAATGAATGGCTGTGTAACATATAATAAGAAGTCCTGGAAACAGTCTCCAGGAGGTGTGGCATCCCAGGAGACAGCTTGGGTGAGGCAACTGGAATTTCCTGATGCGGCAGGGCAGTTACAAGGTTATGCCCCAGATCCTTGCAAGGGCAGCAGCAAGACTTTAACTTCTTAATTATTTACAGGAATTTCTATATATAACTGTTTACAGTAAAGTGTTGTTTTCATACCACAGGCCTCATGAAGATACTGCACACTGCATGCAGCAGTTCACTGGCCTCTCTTACTGGGATTTCCCCGTATCCAATTTCGGTTCCGCACTGAAAATATGCAGCACGGAGAACCTTTTCATGTGTGATGTGTTTTGCGGCACCTCAAAAGCCTTTGAGACACTGCACAGAGTACATATTCCCACTCATCTGGACGAGCCCTGAGGATGTAAGGCAGAGCCATGCAGAGAAACCTAAGATAGCTATGTTCCCACAGGCCAGTGCACCACAGCACCCAGGTTAAATAATTACCTCAATATGCTAACTGCAGTCCACATTTAACTGTGTATATCTCCAAACAGTATATTCCTGTGTAACTATGCCAACTTTCCATAAACTTGAAGACCAAATGTGGGGGGTGGGGGGGAAACAAAAGTGGATACTAACACTACAGGGAAGGATTACGTATTTCCTGGGTTTCAAAATTAAGATAAAAAAAGTTTTATATTTTCAGAACTATTTTCTGGTCTTCACTAAGTATACAATGAATAGTTAACAAACCTTTTTGGCTTTCTATTTCCAGTGCAAGTCACAGTCAGCCTGTGCTTGTGTTAGGTAACTGAAATTCAGGAATGCCAGAGTGCATGAATTACTAGTATCATCACACAAGCATAAATTCAGGCAGTTATGACTGGTTGTATTTTGAGCCTTGAATTTCAGCTGCCTAATGAGAAACTTGTACTGAAGATGCAGTACTAAAGGACACAAATTCTGTAGGCTGATAAATTCAGAGAAGTCTTATTTCTTTTTTGCAGATATTAAAAACTTTCAGATTCAGTCAAAAAACAGACCCTCATCGATCTAAATAGCATTTGCAAACTGATCCAGAATCCTCTACGACATTTTTCTTTCTGGGGTAAATTGCACGTTTTCACTTTGACTCACTGTATTCAATAGTTTGGTCTCTGTACATGGAACAAAACTTCAGACAAATGTAAGCATAGGTATACCAAATTAAAATGTCAGAAAAGTAATACAGCCTTTAAGACCTACCAAATTCTCCTCTGTCCAATGTTATAATTTCAGGATCATCATCATATATACCTATTAAAAAAAAAGAAGGAAGTCAACCACTTATTATTTGCAATTTTTAAATCAAAGAATCCAGGAACGCTCTTGTGTTTTTAACATACCAATAAACATATAAAAATGAAAGATGATGCCTATAAATTGAAGAGATGGATGTACTTACCAGGGATCCTGCTTTTCTCTGTTTAAAAATCCCAAATTCTCCAATTTAAAAAAAACACCCAAATCCACATTTTTCTCTGATTTAAAATGAAATGCCACTCATATATATATATATACATACACATACAGGTATCGGTTTAAAACATTTTTTGCTGATATATTTACAATTTTAAAGCAATTTGGAAGCCTACCAGTGCCTCAATCATTATAATAAAATAAATTCTAAATACCTATATATTTTGGTGTTTGAATTTTGGCTTTTTTTATCATGGAAAATGAGAGCTCTTTCTGCCACCTGTGCTCATCAGGCTGTGGGTCCAGCTGTGGCTGTTTCCCCTCTGCTTTGGGACACGGAGCAGCTCTGATATGCTGGTGCCCTGCCCTTGCCCCTCATTCCCAAGCCACAGTACCTCATCCCTACCGGTGCCCCTCACTCCCAATGCACAGTCTACCCCCTCTCCCTCCGGGCATGCCAGTGCCCCTCCCTCCCGACTCACAGCTACCTGCCCCCCAACCACACTGGTGCCCCTGACTCCCAACCTACAGTTCCCTAACCACCCAATGCCCTTCACTCCCAAGCCACAGTCCCTGTTGGTGCCCTTCACTCCTGCCCTGCAGCTCCCTGCCCTCCCCCAGCCCTGATGGAGGGGGTCCCCAGCTACCCCCGCCCCACCCAGACTACAGGACAGTGGTCTGCAAGGCCATGGTAGAAATGGCCTCTAGCACGAGGTGTTTGCAGTGCACTTCATGCGAAACCACAGGCAGCTGCCCTGTGCCACTGGCTGGGACTACGATGCAGGAGGGAGGACCAGAGCTGTGTTTCACAAGAGCAACATGAAGCCGAGTGTGGCACTGGCATGGACATGTTGCAGGCAGCAGGAGGACAGTGAGGGGCTCCAGGCCCCATCCCGGCCAGGCTACATTGTGGCAGATACGGCGGTTCCGGCTTGTATGTGCTGCAGCAGAAAGAGTCCAACCTCAGCGTGAGCTGGAGTGAGGAGGGGGAACTCCTGTGGCACCCCTCACCTCTGGCTTGGGCTCCTGTGCTGTGCCAGGTGGCTTGGGCCCCTTTCCCCCACATCCCACAAGAGCATGGGCACCAGCTTCAGTGCCACAGGCCCCGCTATGCAGCTTCCTGCCACCCCTGAAGGACTGCCCTCCACCCCCTTTTCCCATTGGAGGGGCAGGTGCTTCCAGGCAGGTCCTGCTGGCAACAGCACAGAGCTGGGCTTGTTGCAAAACTGACAGCCTGCATGGGGAAACCTGCCATTTCCCACAGTTTTCTCCTCTAAAGGGGAAAATCTGTGATCTCTCAAAAGTATAATGTCCTGACCCTACTACTCCTGCTCCTGGGTTAACTGCTGTTAGGATAGGGCTCCTAATATATAAAATTATAATAAATTCATTTAAAGTGTTTGAGAATTTTGAATATAAAAATATCTTGGAGAATTAAACAAAAAAAATCATTTGTATGGGGTTAAAATAAGTATGGCACAATAATAATAAAATGCTCAATCCTAATAATAAAATGATTAACATCACCACATATGTACACTTTAAATGAAAAATAACGGAACAATAGAAAAGCAAAAAAACTGGCACACTAGATAGTGGACTATATACCTCACTACTGATGACATTACTACTGGTGTTTCGTAAGCATAAATTAATAGGCCTATTTGTCATCATTCAATCATGTGGGCCTGGCCCCCCAAGTTTCTTATTGGCTTTCTTCAAGCAGGGAAGCTACAAGGAAAAATGACAACAGATTCCTTGGGACAAATAATAAAAAAATCAGGAATGGGAGTGCTGGTCAAAGGTTCAAAACAAGAGTGCTAAGGGGGGGGGGGCACACCACGTAGAGCACATTGGACAGCGTTCACTGGCCCTCAAATGAGTCCAAGGAGCCAGCGGACATTGACACTCTGCTTAGAGACGGGAGCAAAGTAGGGTGAGGAAAGCAGCCCTGCAATCTCCAGGGACCATCCCAGCCAGAGCCTCCTTCCTGGTCAGGTACACAGCCAGCTTGGCCAGGGCCAGGAGGAGGTTGACCAGGAGGTCCTGGGCTTTGGTGGGGCCATGGACAGTGAGTGCATAAACAAAAAGTTGAGGGGAATAGAGCAGCCAGAACATCAGCAGGAGGTTCTGCAGGAGGTGGTGCAATCTGGTGCACTCCAGGTAGGCATGCGCCAGGGTCTCCCTCTGCTTGCAAAAGGGGCAGGTGTCCAGGGGTGTCCATAAACCATGACAGATAGCACAACTTAACAGGATAACTAAAGGTTAACAATATCTTTTGGGAGAAAGAAGAGAGAATAAAAAGCTGGAGGAAAAAAAGACAAAAGAGATAGACAGGGTATGAGAGAGAAATCTATAAACAAATTTGGCATAGAAAAATGTGACACTTAGGGCTGTAAAAGTGAGTCACAACCATATTTTGTAACTTACCAAAATCATAGCGATAAAAGTTCCAGCTTTCATATCGACCTCCTTGCTGGTGATCCTCAAGGCCTTTCTCTCCATATTTATCATACTTCTTTCGTAGGTCTTCGTCTTTTAATACTTCATAAGCTCTATTTATTTTCAAGAAGTTTTCATGTGCACGTGGATCATTCTATTAAAGGAAAATATTTATTAAATCACAGGAGTTTAACTAACATATAACTAAAAGTTAAATATTAATTCTCAAAATAATATTTAGAAATACTTCTGTTTAACCATCTAACGGAAAGTTGTAAAAGAGAGAATTGAGCAAAAAGAACCATTACATGAAAACTGCCAACAAGACGCACGCATTAATAAGAAGACAATTTCTTTTTTCCTTATAGAGATACTTGGCCACATCTTGATCTCTGGTTTCATAGTTTGTAGGGTCAGAAGGGACCTGAGCAGATCATCGAATCCGACCCCCTGCCATGGCAGGAAAGAGTACTGGGGTCAAACGACCCCAGCAAGCTGTTATCTAGCCTCCTCTTCAAGACCCCCAGGGCAGAAGCCAGCACCACTTCTCTTGGAAGTTGGTTCCAGATCCTAGCTGCCATGACAGTGAAGTAGCGCCTCCCGATATCTAGCCTAAATCTACCCTCTGCCAACTTGTGACCGTTATTCCTAGTCACTCCTGGTCATGCTTGGGGGAACAGGGACTCTCCCAATGCCTACTGGTCCCCTCTGACTAGTTTGTAACAGGCCACTAGATCCCCCCTCAGCCTTCTCTTGTGGAGGCTGAATAAGTTCAGGTCCCGTAGCCTCTCCTCGTAGGGCCCGCTCTGCTGCCTCCTGATCATGCGAGTAGCCCTCCTCTGGACCCTCTCCATGTTGTCCACATCCCTCTTGAAGTGCCGTGCCCAGAACAGTACTCCAGCTGTGGCCTTACCAGTGCCGCAGAGAGGGGGGTATCGCCTCCTTGAATCTGCTTGAGATGCATCTGTGGATGCATGACAAGGTGTGGTTGGCCTTCCTGACTGCATCCCCACACTGCCACCCCATGTTCATCTTGGCGTCAATGACAACTCCAAGATCCTTTTCTGCCTCTGCACTGACGAGAAGGGAGTTCCCCAGCCTGTAGGTATGGTGCTGGCTCTTCCTCTCCAGGTGCATCACCTTGCACTTGTCAGTGTTGAATCCCATCCTATTCTCATCCGCCCACCCCTATAACCTGTCTGGGTCTGATTGCAGCCTATTCCTCCCTTCTAGCGTACCCACATTCCCCCACATCTTTGTGTCATCAGCAAATTTGAACAGGGTGCTTTTTACCTCCTCGTCCAAGTCACTGATGAAGAAGTTGAACACTGCGGGCCCAAGGACCGAGCCCTGGGGAACCCCACTGCCCACATCCCTCCAGATCGAAAATGACCCATCCACTACCACTCTCTGGGTGTGGCCCTCCAGCCAGGTAGCGACCCATTTGACTGTGCAGGTGTCAACACCTCAGTCCCCCAGTTTCTTAATGAGAACAGGGTGAGAGACAGTGTCGAAGGCCTTCCAAAAGTCCAGAAAGACTATGTCCACTGCTACCCCTGCATCTAATGATTTGGTGACCTGGTCGTAGAAGGCCACCAGGTTGGTTTGACAGGACCTGCCTCTAATGAACCTGTGTTGGTTGCCCCCAAGCGTAATCTCCCGTGCTGGCCCTGGGTGGGTGGTATAAAAAGGAAAGAGAATTACAATACAGCTGACAAGTTCCATGATACAGAATCTCTGGGTGTCCCAGAGCCAACTATGTGTCTGGTCTTTCTTTCCACCCATGCTAAGGTGCACAGGGAGTGGTCGAGATGGAATGGACAAGATGGGATGGACATGGTAACAAACTATTAAATTATTACAATCTACTTACATATTATATAAAATGTACTGTTACTAAACCATCACACTATTATTGCAATGGTTCAGTATGACATCAGTTCTCCTTTGCCTAATTTACCAATACAGGAAACCCTCATTATTCGTGGGTTCGGCATTCACGGTTTCAAATATTTGTGAATGCCAAACCCACATTTTAAATACTCTCGAGAGCTCCACGCTTGCTGCCGCTGGGCTCTCGCTGCCACCGAAGCCATGCCCCCACAGCTGCTGGGGGCACTGCATTCATGAATGCAGTGCCCTATTCTCAGATTTCGCCAGTTGCAGGGGATACGAGAATGGCGAGGGTCATCTGTATACCTATTCTATTTTATTTTTGTTTTTCTCTGCAGGAAAAATTAGGTGGACTAACCTATATATTGGATAACTACACTACTTTAAAAATCCTAAAATACAAAGACAACATTTCAATTAAAGTACATTTGAAATTTAAAGAATAGGCCATTTTTTACTATTAACTTTCGGAGAACTTACCTGATTTTTATCAGGATGCAACTTTAATGCCAATTTTTTGAAAGCCTGTCTTATTTCTCTACTACTTGCTTCTTTGGATATTCCAAGTAAACTGTAATAGTCCTGATCAGTGCAAACGAGAGCTATCAGATATGTGAAAACTAAAAGTATTAATAATGGTCTATGGAAATCTCTAACGAAACCTCCTTTGGATAATGAGAACTCCATTATGAAGCTTTTCAAAAGTTATACAGATTGCAAGCCAAGTTGACTTCCAAGAAATATTGCCAATAAGTGCAAGATATTCAGAAGATAAGTGTATATTTATTTTAAGCGGGATGTCTTTAAGATTGTGGTTGTCCTAATCCATAGTTGTCACATCATAACTGTTTTGTAAGAATTATAACCTGTAAGGAAAAGAAAATGATTCAGTAAATAACTGTATACAGTTATCAAAGAACATGCTATCAGCTTTAGCAGGATGCACACTAATGCTGAATTTCCTGCTTTGTTACTAATCAGCTTGTAATATCTTTACATAACTTAAGTATTAGAGATCAGTAACTTTCTCTTTCTTATTGTGGAATCTAGCAATTCTGGAAAGCTTTTTCAGGTAAGTGGTACCAAGGATGAACATTAAAGCCTATACACATTTAGGTTAAGAATATTTTTCTCTTCTTCTCGCTTTTCCTACCCAATACATCTGTTTATGCTCTGGTCTCACTGACTGGGGCCAGCAGGAAACGTTCTTTCATTAGGTGTCAGGCAGCCTTTAAAGAAATTATTCTACAGTTTCACTTTGGGGATGGAAAATTGTACAGGGTGCATAAATGTAAACATGTATAATCTCCTTGAAAATGAAGCAAAAATACTAAGGATTGAAATGGCCAGCTCTTGTGTATGATGCTTCAGCATCCAGCCTGCTGTGTGTATATATGCACACATGGCTGAGTGATGCGTACCATTGTACTCCACTTGCAACCATACTAGATAAGGGTGCAGCTCACTTAATTGGAGACCACGCGGCCAGTCCCACTGTGTTGCTTGTGATTTATATTGTAACAAACACTACTTATCCGAATACAGGTGAAGCGCATGAACACCAGCATCTTTCAGCCCCGTCACCTCCTTTCCTAACCTCACCGTGCCCTGGGGTAACTGCACGTGAATGTTAACGGTTGCATCTGTAACGAATTTCACTGAACCCAGGGGGGCTCAACCCCAGCTCTGGTCCCCAGCACTGTCACCTGGCCTGTGGTGCACCCCACAGGGTGCCCTGTGAGCTGTGGAGTTGGGTGTTATGTGGGGTGCAGCAGGCCTGACCCCTGCGCGCGGGACGACGCAGGACCCTGCTCCTGGCACACAGCACAGACCCGGGGCAGCGTGGGCTCCTCTGTCTGAGAGCGGGGGGCCTGCCCTGGGGCCAGCGGGTTGAGCATCCCTGCTCTGAAGGGACCAGAAAGGAGGGCAGGCTGCTCCCAGGAGCCTTGGACGCGGGGGCCCTGCAAGGTTGCTGGTTTCCATGCAGGTGGGAACCCGGGGAGCTGAGGGGAGCCCTTGCTCCCTCAGCTCAGCTCAGCCCAGCCCAGCCGCGGCGGCGCTGAGGGAGCGCGGGGGAAGAAGAGCACCTGGCAGGAGGCGCTGCCGGGCGCGGGGGAGGGCGGGGGGTTACCCTGCTGCGTCTCTGCCACTGGGCGACGTCCCGCCGCGCCGGCGTCCCCGGCTGCAGGCGCCGAGCCGGCAGGAGCTGCAAGGCGAAGAAACTGGAAGGGAAGGGAAGGCGGAGGCCGGGCCGAGCCGGGCGCGGGGCACCA